AACAATCTGAGATTCTATAGTAACTAAAACTGACAGAAAAAAAATGAAGGAATAGGGGGAAAAATCTGCAACAACTATGTAACTTACTTTTCATTTACTAAGAAAGTAGTTAAGAGTGCTGTACACTTAGAAATGACTTACCAGTCTTCTGAACACGAGTGTTAGAGGCATGGAGATTCCTTGCAGCAATGAAGGATGACCCCAAAGCATTTTTGGAGACCTAGGGCAAGAATATTATTTAAAATCTGATTTTTAAAAATTTACTTATTTTTAGAGAGAGGGGAAGAGAAGGAGAAAGAAAGAAATCCATGTGCAAGAGAAATATTCATCAATTGCCTCTTGCATGTCCTCAACCACGCACGGACCTGGCCCACAACCAACCCAGGCATGTGCCCTGGACTGGGAAGCAAACAGTGACCTCTCGGATTGCAGGACAACACCCAATCCACTGAGCCACACCAGTCAGGGTTAAATCTGATTTTTAAAAGGGCCTTTGTAAAACTGGCAAGCTTGAATGCAGGCTTAGTTTGATCAAGTTATCAGTTAAAATACTAATTCTACTCAAATTATTATTTAAAGATGTTTAAAATTGGAAGACAATTAGGCAGATAAGGAAATAACTTTAGATACTTGAAAATCTATTATGCAGTTCCTGGTACATTGTAAGTACAAGTATCTTACAAGAGTTAAAGTATCTTTCCCTTTAAACGCATCCGTACTACTATTTCCACTTTAGGTATATTCCATTTGATTTGGAAAATTGTTAATAAGATAAACTGCTTCCTGAAAGGTACAAATTGAACAGATTACCTATTTAAGAAAACGAATTACAAAAACCAAGCAAACCAAAAACTGTCAATGTTGGAACCTGAGGCATGGCATATACAACCTTTTTTTTTTTAACTGCCTTCAACAAAACCTGTATCAACTCTGGGCCCTTTCTTCTCCAACGTTTAATACTGTGATTGGCCACGGTCCATCCTGCAGTATCCACAGGACCTGGATGAAAATCGGCAAAAATGTTTTTTGCTAAAAGAAACCCAGAGTGCTACCAGCGGTTGTGTTAGGGCAGTAACATGTCCAGCATGTTTATCTTTCAAACTGAGACCACTTTTAAGATGGAAAAGTGTAGAAGTGCTTACACAGGTTTAATTAAGTAGGTTGACTTCAAGAGGGGTAAGTAACGAAGGGCATTGACCTTTACAGATATTTTGCAACCTATGTTCTATTCTCCTCGAGGTCTGGATCACTGTCTAACAATTCCTCAAGGACTAAGTCTTAAAACATGTCCAAGTACCACAAAGCAAAGTCGTCTGCTAGCAGAAGACAATACAGAAGCCAGCTTCACGGCTGTCACGGCAGCGGCCGCATGAAATGCATACTTGCCCCTGTGCGCTGTTTTCACAATCGTTTCAATATTCAGCATTAAGAGATCACCTACTTAACTATTCAGAAAATCACCTTTATTGCTCTCCTCTGAACCGACCTCCAGGCAGAGGTGCAAGGCCGGGACCCGCTGACCTTCATACAATGTCAGGCTTCCCCAGACCGCCTGACCTTCAGCGAGGCAGTGCCGGAGAATCAGCCGGGCCGGGCCTCGCGCTTTCGGTGCAGGCTTCGGACAGCGCCCAAGCCCTTTCCTTCCCCCAAGACCCCTCGAGGGCCGCTCTCAACTGAAGACGGAAATTCTCTTCAGGCCCCATCTATGGACGGCATCAATGTTACTGCCTTTCCTGCACCACTTTGCACCATCCCGCACCGACGACGAACGCAAGGGCCCTTTCGCCGCCCGCCCTGCTCTGTGCGGCCAGGCCGGAGCAGCCAACAGTGCAAGATGGCGGCGGCCGCCACAGCCCCTCACCCTCCTTGCAGAAGAGCTCCGACACGGCCGCTGCACGACCAACTCACTGCAGTCCCCACCGGGCCACCTTCCACCCGCTGATGCCCTGCGCTCACCAGCCCGGCTCGCCGAGGGAGGGCGCGGGCCACGGCCGCGGCGACGCGCACGGACAACATCTTCGCAGCTTCCAGGTGGTTCCTCCGCAGCCGCAGCCTCCGGACTGACTGGGACAAAATGGCTGAGCGGCGAGGAAGGTCAAGGGAGCCAGCCTACTTAACCCGGAAGTACCGCCCATCGCTTTCACCTCTGGACGCAAACTACCTTTTGCGGAAGACAGGGGTGGTTACTTTTTTTTTTTAATATTATTTTTAGAGTTAAACTTAAAAATGAGTGGTTAAACCTTTGCCAGCTTCCGCCCAGGCACTGGCTACACATTTACTGTGGTCCTTGGTGTCGACCTTGTGGCTGCCCCGGGCGACCACGTGTGTAGCGGAACCAGCTATGAAGCAGTTTCCTGGCCGTAAGCCGGGTGCGAGGTGATGCTGGCGTCACCTGGTCCTGGTATGAGTTGATAGTGACACCCCGTCCGAGGGCTCAGCCGGCTTGACGGTGAGGCGAGTTGATGGTGTCTCGTCCTAGGTTACTGCTATTAAACAGTGTCGGCCGCAGGGCGTCTTCTACCGAGAGAGGTGATACTCAGATCAACGGAGCCCCACACTTGACCCTGAGTCTCTGAATTTTGACAACCACTCACACAGATACGCACACAAGTTGGAGAACCGCTGTTCTTTTGAATCCTATCTGCGAATTAGAGAAAATTGTTTTAACACTGTTACATGCATAAGGAGTTCGAGCAGAGTGATTGCCAATCCTGCTGAGAAGAATGGTACGGAATCAGAGGTCTCACTCCAGGCTGGACTAGGGCTCAAGCTTTCCTTTAACTAGTTTCATGACAGTAGGAACTCGGCTTTTTCATATGGAGTACAACGGAAATAATGAAAATAACTTCTCTACCTTCCCAGTAATAACTTCTCTTTCCTTCCCGGAAATAATGAAAATAACTTCTCTACCTTCCCATTGCAATGGGATTCCACTCCCACACACACAGAATTTTTGTGATTCTAAGATTTGTGTGATATGTAAGAGAATTTAGAGGCAATGGGGGGTATTTTGTGATAGTGGAGACTATCAACGTGGACTTCACTCGTTTCTGAGATGTATCTCAGCCTCACAACAAATTCTGGTTTACACCCATAATCTTAATGGGGCCAGAATATGAGCTTTAAAAGGTCATCTCCTACAACATAGCTTGCTAATGTATGGTTACCAATCCCTTTCTCTAATACTCTACTTCTGGTACAAGGCAAGCCATGAATAAGTAAATAGGACAATTCTTTTCCAGGGAATCTGGTAGGAATAGATAGGTAGGAATAAGAAAAAATTTGGTTGTACAAATAAAAGTGCAGGGATATTTTGTTGAATATGTAGTAATGAAAGTGGACAAAGGGCATTAAGATAAATTCCCGCCCCCCCCCGTATGCATGGGCTGTACCAACTTATCTGAAATTTGGTTAATAAGCAAAGATATATTTAACAAACAAAAATAATCAGAAAGCTATACAATATGGTATTGGCTAGTTAATAAAATTCCTTTGAAAAGAAAGGTGTAATCATATTAAATATGCATATGACTGACCAGATAATGTGGACAAAAGACCAAGCACAGATGTCATCCACTCGAGACGGGCTGGCCACCAAGAGGGGTCTGTACAGAGCACCATTGTCCTGGTCAAAGCACTGCAGTCCAGGGTACAGCCTTCAACTATGTCAATTTAGAAACCAGAATATGTAAACACAATAGAAATGAACCTGATTCTCAGAACGGATTTAGGTAACCCTAGAGAAGTTGTAAAATCAAGACACAAAATGATTACTATATTTCCTATATGCTGAATTGCAACTTTTTTGAATACTTCAAGATTTTTAAATAAAAATGTTTCTTATGATGGAAAAAATGCATATGACTTAAGAGAAAAATAATTGGTGCTAAGTCTGATCCACAATTTGATATTGAATCACATTATCACAGAAGGTTGAATACATGGTCTACCTTTCCTAAGGTAACCCAGCACACTACAAGAGGGTGTGACAGCAGTATGGAACATGTAACCTGAAGAAACTGAACCACCAAACGAGCCAAAACATGGAGGTCAGATTCCAGCTCTACCACCTAAACTTGATTGAGTCATTTAATCTGTGTGTGTGATTTTCAGTTGAAAATATGCAATGTGTGTTATGTTACAGGGTTCCTGTAAAAATGAACAACATTAGGAAAACACAGAAAACTATACATCGCTGTAGCAGTACAAAGAACCACTCACAGAGCTAACTGCAGTGATGGAGGAAGGAGAGAATTTTAGGGAAGACGAGAAATAATGGAAGAATGGCGTGTGGCAGTGACAGTGTTGGAAGTTGGATGCTGTCAACCATTTTTAAACAGTCCCCAGCACATTTAACTCTCGGATAATGGAAACTAATGGATAAGATTAAGGTTGCTGCAACTTTATATTGCAGGGTAAAATTAAAACAATTTAAGTTAGCGCATACAGTGTAGAATAAACACAAGCATCTGCTATCCAAAAAACAAGCTTCAAGTATTTTTTTAAGACAAGCAATTCAGTGGATTGAGCATGGGCCCGTGAACCAAAAGATCACAGTTCAATTCCCAGTCAGGGCACATGCCTGGGTTGCAGCCCAGTTCCCAGCACGGGATCCACGAGAAGCAGCCATACATTGATTGATATTTCTCTCCCTCTCTCCTTCCCTTCCCTTCTAAATATAAATAAAATTTAAAACTTTTTAAAAATCTTAAAAAAAAACAATTCAAGTGCAAAATAAAAAAAATAATAAAGGAAACACAGCCTGATTCTAGGCGCTTCTACTTCTGTAGATTATGCTACAGAGAGCGGAGGGCGAGGCTAGGTGGCAAGCAAGGAGAGGCTTACAGTGCTGGATCCTTAGAAGCAGCCTTTGACTAATGGCTTTCAGCAGCCAGGAGTCCTAGGAAAAAAACTACAACTCCCAGAAATCCCGGTCATCAAAGAGGGTAGGAACAATGGTGTGTGGGCGGGGCTTTTAGAGTATTGGGTCAAATCTGCGAGTTGCTGCTGGAGAAGTGGCGGGAGCGGCAGCTATGGAATCGAAGGAAGAGAAAGAGGCGCAGGTGATGGGGCAGGAGCCGAGCGGGCAGCTTCGGCGTCTTAGAAACGGAGGCTTTGACACACCCTACCCGGCTGGGGGATCGCCTGCGCGACCACGTTTAATTATCTTCTCCTCTGGTCCAATTTTAGTGCCGCCTTTAGGTTCTGCGATCCCTCCTCGCTTGGACCGCCTTGGAAAGGGCCTTTCTCTTTCGTCCCCGGCCCTTACTTGCTTAGTTTCGGGTTTGAAGAGGAGTTGAGTAGCCCCCTGGTACAAAATCCCTCGCCGGAGAATGAACTGGGACTTCTGAACCCCAACCCCTCTTCCAGCCAAGCCTCGCTGTTCACTGCTGCTTCCTACTAGATTCTAGTAACTAGAATTTTCATACCTGACCTGCTTCCCCGTCCTGCATCTCAACTCTTGGAGCTTCTTTGGGGCTTGTGTGTTGGGGACAACCTTTTTTTCTGTTTGCACGTATAATAATGTTTCTGTTTAGCACCTTCTTAGTGAGCTTTAAAATTATTCGAGTGCTGCAAATTATTAGCCTATATCCTGCTTTTGTAGCTTTGAGATTGCATGGGTCGTTTTCTGGTAATTTTATCCGTTGTGCTTTCGCATTTATTTCCTGGCATCTAGTATCTATCTTCTTAAAGACAAGTTAGGATGTGAAGTAGATAGGATGTCAGAGTATTCATCAAAAGCATTTAATATACTTCTGATCACATCTCTGTAATATTTGCTTTGTGGCATTACGGTAAACAAGACATAAATTTGGCTTCCTTTTAATCGTTAGGTTGCTGCATGGTTGAAAAGGATATTTGGAGATAATCCCATTCCACAGTATGAGGTGAATCCACGGACCACAGAGATTTTACATCACCTTGCAGAACGCAACAGGGTCAGGGACAGGGATGTCCACCTGGTAATAGAGGACTGGAAACAGAAAGCAAGTGAATATGAATCAGAAGGTGAGATTAATTCCAGAATTTTAAATGAGATAACTAGAGGTAACCAAATTTTATAACACTAAAGTGTACAAGATTAATTTAGTATAGACTACTTTTTAGTTTTCTTTCATTTTACCCAGATTTGTCTTCCACTCTGTTGTTATAATAACTCAATAAGTCATAAATTTTATTATAGTATATATTTTATTTGTATTCTGATAGAAAAACTTTAAGCCCTAAAAGATGAGTCTCGACTTATTAGCCTGACACACAGGATGGTGTGTGGTTTTTCTCTTATGTATCCTTTCGATCTGTTTCCAGTGCCCATGCTTTAGTTATAATGAGCCATCAGAAGACTTGAAGTAGCAGCTATGAACTGTGAGGCCACAACAAATCACTCGGTCATTAAGTATTCACAGGATTGCATTAGAATGTTCTGTTGTGCACATGTAGTTTGGAAAAGTGCTTTTAACATACCTGTTGTTTGTATGATACAAACCACCAAAATAACAAAAACCACAGTGATTGATAAAAGTCTTTTATGGCCCTGGCCTGCATGGCACCGTTGATTGGGCTTCCTCCCATAGGGCGAGAGGTTGCCAGTTCAATTCCCAGTCAGGGCACATGCCTGGGTTGCAGGTCCAGTCCCTGGTTGGGGCCTGTGTGAGAGGCACCGATTGATGTTTCTCTTACACATTGATGTTTCTATCCTTCTCTTTTTCCCTCCCTTCCCTTGTCTCTAAAAATGAATAAAATCTTTTTTTTTAATCTTATCGTGGGTGGGAATATACAGAAGAGAAAGGAAGCGATATCTACATTTGCCCTAAATGTGTATGGCATGTTTTACATACAATGTTTTAACGAAGTGCAGTTTACATTATAATTCTGCCGCATATGTGCTTCGTCCCAATTTTCTTTTAAAAATCGCCATACGGTGAAATGGACTTGTTTTGGTGTGCTGCTTTAACGCACACGGATGCTGGCATCCACCCCCACAATCGGGATGTAGAATAGCTCTGTCCCACCTCCCGTGAAACCTCTCCTGGAGTGAGGCTTGATAGTTCTTTGAAAACTGTTTTATTTTCAAATGAATTTATTTTATAGTAAATTAAAATACAGTATGGAGAAAGAGGCTTTGAGTCCCCAAAAATCTTATTTTCTAAGAGCTTTTTTATCTTATAACAAAAAAACCCCTGAGAGTTGTTCAAAGTAAGATTATTTATGACTGTCCTTAAGTGCCTTTTAGGGTGACACATAGCAAATGCTTCTATTAATATATACAAATTTCCTGCAAACCAAACAATCGCGGTTCGATTGTCTGGGCACATACCGGGGTTGCAGGCCAGTTCCCAGCAGGGGACGCATGAAAGGCAACCATACATTGACGTTTCTCTCCCTCTCTCCATCCCTTCCCCTCTAAAGATAAATAAATAAAATCTTAAAAATATATATATATATACATATATATATAAATGTGATACAGTTTTCCATATGTAAGTATCTAGAAGAGCCCTGCTGCCATCGATATTTGTTAGCGCTGCCGTGTCATGCAGTTTAAGCATTACTTGTCTTTTCTAAGCTTTTCATTCTTTTAGACAGCGAAGGTATCCAGTAGAAAACAAAATTTGTGGGGCCTTGTAACAAGTATGGATTCCTGTATACTGTAAAAGAGGTCTTGCTTTCTCAGTTTGTAATTCTAAATTCTGAGTAGTGATACCATATAGCTTCCCAGACTTCAATGACTTTTGAGCTAAAAATTATTTTTTGATGCAATTTTTAAAATTTTTATTTATTTTTTAGGGAGAGGGGAAGGGAAAGAGAGGGAGAGAAACATCAATGTGTGGTTGCCTCTCATGCGCCCCCACTGGGGACCTGGCCTGCAACCCACACATGTGCCCTGACTGGAAATTGAACCAGCGACCCTTTGATTCTCAGGCGGGCACTGAGCCACAGCAGCCAAGGCTACTAATGCAGGGGTTTTTTTAAAAAAAGATTTTATTTATTTATCTTTAGAGGGGAAGGGAAGGAGAGAGAGAGAGAAATAATCAATGTATGGTTGCCTCTTGTACATCCCTCCCGGGAACTGGCCTGCAACCCAGGCATGCGCCTCGACTGGGAATCGGACTACAATCCTTTGGTTCGCAGGCTCGATCCACTGAGCTACACTGGTCAGGGCCTGATGCAGTTTTTATTTCTACACAATACAGTCCTTTGCAGTTTGAGTGGAACATTTTGGAAATATTTTCAGGGCTTGGGAAAGGATGTAAAAGCTTAATATGAAGACTTTTTTTAAAGAAAGATTTTATTTACTTTTAGAGAAAGGTGAAGGGAGGAAGAAAGAAAGGGAGAGAAACAGCAATGTGTGAGAGATACCGTGGAGCTTGGCCCACAAGCCAGGCATGTGCCCAGGTCAAGAATCAAACCAGTGACCTATTGGTTCGCAGGCCGGCACTCAGTCTACTGAGCCACTCCAGCCAGGGCTGGATACTTTTAAATCATGATGAATACAGATGAAACTGTTGAACCCCATTCATTCTTCATGCTGCCAATTCTTTTGTTGAGGAGGATAATAAGAAGAAAAGGTACTGGCTAGTACCTTTAATAAAAAGTTGAATAGAAGCGACAAGAACAGACATCCTTATCATGTTCCTGATTTTAGAGGGAAAGTATCCAGTCTTCACTATTAAGTATGATGTTAACTGTGGGGTTTTGTAGATGCCCTTTATCAACTCAGGGAGATTTCCTTCTCTTCCTGGTTTGCTGAGTGCCATTATCATAAAAGGGTGTTGGGTTTTTACTAAATGTTTTTTCTGTGTCTGTTGAGATGATTGTGTGGCTTTCGTTTTTTATTCTCTTGATATGATCTATTATATTAATTGACTTTCAGGTGCTGAACCAACATTTATCCTTAAGTTAAATCCATATTCTCATGGTGTATAGTTTTTTATAGTTTGCTACATTCATTTTGCTGGTAATTTGTCAAGAATTTTTCCATTTGTATTATAAGAGATATTGGTCTGTAGTTTTCTTTCCTTGTGATGTCTTTGTCTGATTTTGGTATCAGCCCACATTGAAAGAGCTAAGAAGTATTTCTTCCCTTCTATTTTTGCAAGAGATGTGAAGAATTGGTACTAATTCTTTGTATATTTGGTAGAATTCAGTGGTAAAGCTATCTGGGTTTGAGCTTTTTTTTTGTGGGCAGTTTTTTCATTAGTAATTCATTCTCTTCACTTGTTATAGGCCTATTTAGATTATGTTTGCTCTTTAGTTTGGTTCAGTAATTTTTGTCCTTTTTGGAATTTGTTCATTTCATCTAAGTTATGTAAGTTGTTCGGTCCATTGTTCATAGTATTCCTTTGTAATCAATCCTTTTTATAAAGTAGGCAAGTCAGTGGGATGTCTTCGCTTTCATTTCTGATTCTACTGATTTGACTTCCTCTTAGTCAGTCTAGGTGCGGGTTTTTCATTTCTGTCAATCTTTTCAAAGAACTAGCTTTTAGTTTCTTTGATTTTTTTCTCTACTGTTTTCCTATTCCCTGTTTCATTAATTTTCATTCCAGTTTTTGTTATTTCTTACCTTGGCCTACCTTGGGTTAGTCTGCTGTTTTCTCAGTGTCTTAAGGAAGGCCACTGATTTGAGGCCTTTCTTTTCTCTTAATACAGGAATCCCAGCTACATTCCCCTCAAAGAACTGCTTAAAGGCATTCCATAAGTTTTGGTATGCTGTGTTTTCATTTCCATTTGTCTCAAAGCACTTTCTCATTTCCCCTGTGATTTTTTCTTGACCCGTTGGTCAAGAAATATGTTCTTTAATTCTACATATTTATGAGTTTCCTAAATTTCTTTCTAATTTCTCATTTTATTTCATTTTAATTGGAGAATACTTTGTATTACTTTGATTTTTTAAATTTATCGAGGTTTGTTTTATGGCCTACCATAAGGCCATAATGTTTTATATTCACTTGACAAGAATATATATTCTGCTGTTGAGTGGAATGTTCTAAACATGTCCGTTAGGCTAAGTTGGTTACACTGTTGTTCAGTTCTTCTGTTTCTTTGCCACTTTTTATCAGAACATAACCCTATTGTAAGTCGAGGGAGATCTGCACATGAGTATGTCCACAGTCACTCTGAGATGACTATGGTTTTGGTAGGACTGTCTTCTTCTCATTCACTGACCACACCCAACTGTAAAATTTCACTTATTGACAGCTGTTTTTGTTTTTCCCCCAACAATGCCCTGGAGCATAAATTGCTGTATGAGCTAATCCAATCAAATTCTGTCACCCTTAAAGGGACAGTTTCTGAGGTCAGTGTTTCATATTTGTTCTGACTCAAGGATGCATCCTCCTAGATGTCTTATTTTCTGGTTTTTCCATGCAAACTAGGTGGCCTCAGTTTAAACTATATCTTGACTCCTCTCTCAATTACCTTTTAGTACAATTTCCACTGCTCTTGAGGGTGTCCTTAGGCTTGAACTTCTCCAGGCTCTGTTGCAAATGAAGTCAATTTTGGGGGGAAGGTATTGGGAGCTATCTGGTTTACGACTTGCATCTTCCTCCAGCCAAAATCTCTGAGCCAGGGCTTTGGAGCTGGAGGTAGAGACTATGGCAAGCTCTTCTTTGAGTGACACCCACAGTATGAATGCTGAGTGCTCGGCAGAGGGGGGGTGCAGCAGCCTTTTCTGGCATGGAACCACCATCCCTTTAGCTGGTGTGAGGGTCACCAGGGCCCCAGCACTCTCGGTGTGCCTTACCCAAGCTAGAGGTTGTATTCCAGGAATGTGGCTGGATAGATAAAGAGATCCTACACCTCTTGACCAGTTTGCTGAGAACCTAGTCTCAGCCACAGATAGCTGGTGGCAGGATGGAAGCACCAAAGCTCTGTTCCTCCCAGAAAGAAAGCCCTCTCCAACTCGGAGCTGGAGACTGAGGGAGCCCTGTGCTCTGCACGCAACAGTCTAGTGGAGTCTCTGCCTCACTGAGCTGGGAGGGAGGAGGAGAGAGTGGTTCAAATTTGGTTCAAATACTACACACTCTCACCTTTCTTACTGACTTTTCATAGATTTTCTTTAATAGTTGTTTCTTCTTTTGCTATTTGTCCTTGGGACCATATCCAGGGGCTTTAAATGGTTGTGATTTGTTTTATTTTACAATTTTTACCAGTTTCCCTAGAAAGCAGGTCAGCATAGCTCCTCACACTGTTTGACTAGAAGTCAAACTCCCAGTCATTTGATTTTCACAAGGGTGACAAGACAATTCAGTGGAGGAAAGACTAACCTTTCCAATGAATGGTGCTGGGGTAAGTAGACATCCACATGTAAAAGAATGAAGTTAGATTCTGCCTCAGATCATAAAGAAGGATTAACTCAAAATGAATGAAAAACCTAACTGTGATAGTAAACCTGAACCTCGGAAGATAATATAGTGTATATATATATATTTTTTCATGACCTTGGATTTGGAAATGATCTTAGCTGTGATACCAAAAACACAGCAACAAAAGAAAAAGTAGGTAACTTGGACATCATGAAATCTAAAATTTTTGTTCTCAAAGGACACGATTAAGTAAATGAAAGGACAACCCACAGAATGGGGGAAATATTTGCAAATCATATATCTGATAAGGGACTTGTACCAACAACATATGAAGACCTCTTACATCTCAGTAGTGAAAAGACAGCCCAGTTTACAATGGGTAAGAATATGAATACAAGTGGCCAGTAAGCATGGCATCATTCGCCATCAGGGAAATGCAGATCAAAACCACAATTCCACTGCACACCTATGAGGAGGGCTATAATCAAAAAGACAGGTATTCAGGTCTTAATTTATTTCCATGATCATTATTCAGTTCTGTGAATGATCTCTATACTGAACAAACAAACAAAAAGACAAATAACAACTAACTGTTGGTGAAGATGTGGAGAAATTAACCCTTGTACACTTTTGGTGGGAATGTATTATAATATAGTTTTGAGAGCAGTCTGGCAATTTCTGGTATAAACATATGACCAGCAGCGCCGCTTTTAGGTATATACCCACGAGAAGTGAAAACATCTGTGTACATAAAAACTTGTAGATGAATGTTTATAGCAGTGTCATTCATTATAGCCAAAATGTGGAAGCAACCCAAATGTCCATGAGTAGTTGAATCGATAAACAAAATGTGGTAGGTCCATGCAATGGAATATTTTTTCATGCATGAAAAGGAATGAAATACTGGTACATGCTATAGCATGGACGAACCTTGAAACCATTATACCAGTTGCAAAGTACCGTGTATTGTACAATATACCATTTAGATTAAACATCTATAATTGGGAAAGTAATAAGGACAAAATGTATAAGTGGTTGCTAAGACTATGGGTTAGAGAATTGGAAAATGACTACTAAGGAATCGTTTTTAAGGAATGTGGGGTTTCCTTTTGGGCTGATGAACATGTTCTAAAATTGATTATATTGATGGGGGGGTTCCACTCTGAAGATACTAAAAGCCACTAAATTATATATTTACACTTTACGTGGGTGAATTGTATGGTAGGTGAAAGATTTCGGTTCAGCTGTTAAAAAATTAAAATGAAACAAACAAACATCTTAGTCACCACCGAACTCTTATCTTTTCAGCCAAGCATCTTCAAGACTTTCTCATGGAGAGTGTGAATTTTTCCCCTGCCAACCTCTCTAACACTGCCTCGAGGTATCTGAATGCTTTGGTTGACAGTGCAGTGGCCCTTGAAACGAAGGACACCTCACTGGCTAGGTAATTTTTGTAACAGTTTTAATTTCTACAATCATATATGCTATGATTAACCTAGAGGCTTTTTGCTTCTCAGAGTAATTCTGTGTAGGAAATTAACAGTAAATGCCAGAACACTGAATTTAATTAACTCCTTGTCATTGCTAATGAGTATGTATAATTAATTCAGGTAAACTTGGTATTGGTTAAATTTTAGTGTTTTCTTCTTCGAGGATTAGGTTTGTGAAGCTTGATTCTTATGTATATTTGGAAAAGTATTAGGTATCAGTTATATTGTTAAAATGTGCAATAAGAAAAGCTGTAAGTGAAGTCATCTGGTTTGAGCATAGTGAATTTTGGTTATGTTCCTGCCCTACTGGTAGAGTAGGTTAAGGACCTTTATTCTTCATTATAGGCATTTCCCCTTTATAATGACATTATTTTTTTCAACAACTCTAAGAGGAAACTAAGTTCAGGAGGAGCATAAAACAACCTTGAGTTAGAAAGTGGCAGAGTTGAGATTCAGACCCTGTCCAACTCCAAAGTCACCGGACTATCACAGGGATATCACTGGTGGCCATATCTTAGCTAGGATGACCACTACAACCCACAGAGAACTGTATGGCTGTTCTGCTTCATTGCCAGAATAAGGACTTGGAATTTATATGTATGCTCAAGAGTAGCGAGTGTTTCAGGTATAAGAACATGTATGTTATGTGGCAGCAGACATCTAGACTTAAGTCAACTCACCAGACACTAAGTACTGGCTATATGCCATATGTATATACACATACATAGCACTGGGGAAGCAGAAATGACTAGGGTAGTAACTGCAATCAAGGACAGTCTCTGCTCGTGGTCACGTAAGGGAGGTGGGCATGTGAAACTATAACACAGTGGGTGACACCCGTAATGCAGGAATATACAAGCTGTTGCTAGGGCACAGAAAAGGGTAGTGAATTCCAGGACGGGAGTAAACCTGATTTGCATTTTGAAGGACAAATGGAAATCTGCCAACTGAAGAAGGGCTTTCCAGGCAGTGGGAACAGGGTGCACAAAATACACAGATAGGAAACAGCGTGGTTATGGAAGACTCTACGCAGAGATCAAATCATTGTTAGAAATGAGGAATAATTGTAATTGTTGTCCTTGGTGTGCATTTACCTGACCAGATTTTTTTTTAAGTTTTCTCCCTGCAGTGAATGATCTGACCTCTGATCTTTTTCGTACCAAATCCAAAAATGAAGAAATCAAGCTTGAACTGACAAAAGTTGAAAAAAATCTAACTGCAAGTTTAGTATTAGAAAAACGTCTACGAGAGTAAGTAATTGAGTTGGAAGTGGTGACAATTTTTATGAAAAGGCAATAATAGGACTTTATTATATCTAGTTTTTAAATCAATAGATATGATTTAAAACAACACACTAAGAAATGAAGTCCATAAAATATTTTTTAAGTAGAAAATGACTTGGGTGGAGATGAAGGGGTAACTGAATATAGACTTTGACTCTTTATACAATTTCTTACTTTTTTAAAAAAAAATATATTTATTTATTTTTCGAGAGAGAGGGGAAGGGAAGGAGAAAGAGTGGGAGAGAAATATCAATGTATGGTTGCCTCTCATGTGTCCCCTGCTGAGAACTGGCCTGCAACCCAGGCATGTGCCCTAACTGGGAATCGAACCGTGATACTCTGGTTCACAGGCCCACGCTCAATCCACAATTTCTTACTTTTTTTGTTTTTTTTTACAGATAACCTGGGTTTTATAATTTTCAAAATGTATGTGAAAATTTTTTTATACATAAACTATAGTGCAACTTATAAAGTACATTATATTTTGTTGCCTTAAAAATTTTTTTTACTAGCGCTCTGCTATCCCTCCTGATGTTCTGGACCTTTTTCAGGTCCCTGTTGCCCCCGAGATTAGATGCGGTGGATCAGGACCATGTATACGCACAAGTAATTCAATACGTGTTGACTGTGGGATGCGAGGCACTGTCATGTCACATTGAGGAGAGAGGCCTTTTGAGACCCCCATAGTTCAAACTGGCTTTAGGGTATATGAAGCCACTTTTTTGAGCAGCAGATTTACTTTCTCCAAGAATAATTGGCATAAATTAATTTTAGAATTATTTCTTTTTTTAAAGATTTTATTTATTTACTTTTACAAAGGGGAAGGAAGGGAGAAAGAGAGCGGGAGAAACATTGATTAGGTTGCCTCTCGAATGCCCGCTATTGGGGACTTGGCCTGCAACCCGGGTTTGTTCCCTAACTGAGAATGGAACCGGAGACCTTTCGGTTCACAAGTCAGCATTCAATCCACTGAGCCACAACTGCCAGGGCTATTTCATATTTCTTGAGAAAAATCCCAGATGGGATTTTTCATGGAATGGGGGATGACCTGGAAGAATGCCTGTTAACTAGTCTGGGACATAAAATTTATGGTAGAAAATTCAGCAAGTATTTTAGCTACTTTTGTCAATTGCAGAGTTGAATCCAAAAAGTAATATAATTTTTTAAATAATAACTTCACTGAGGAGAAGAAAATGTTTTTGATTTTACTTTTTAAAGGGATCTCAAGAAGGCAGAGCTTCACCTGTCTACGGAAAGGGCCAAGGCTGACCATCGTCTCCAGAACATGGACTTCCTAAAAGCGAAGTCAGAGGAGTTCAGAGTTGGAATCAGAGCCACCGAGGTATGTGTGTAGTTGGACTGCATGTAGTAGATCTCTTTATGCTTCTTTTTGACCTTCATCTTTACAACTAGGCAATATTAATATTCCCTGTTTACAGACAAAGGAGCTAACCACAGAAAAGATAGGTAACTCGCCCAACGTTACACAGCTGTTGTGCTTAGCAGTGGATCCAGATGCAAATGCAGGCAGCTAGGCCTGGGAGCTCAGGATATTGAGAAGCACCCATCTTACCCGAATCTGAGGCTGGGGAATTGATTGGCATACAACATAGAAGTATTTAGATGCATGTGTCGTTTTTCATCTGTGATCTGTAGCTTCTCTTTACAGGGTTATGTGTTGAAAATATTTCCTGATGACCACTTTGAAAATAATTGTCTTAAGCAACCCCCCTTTTTTGTGATTGTAGGAGAAACTTTTAGCCAGAGGCATGGATGCTTCTTTGTCTCATCGGTCACTGGTAGCACTTTCAGAGGTGAGCTTATTTTAACCCAGTTTAACTTTCTTTAAAATCTTAGTGCACAGTCTCCATTTTTACTCCTTTTCATAGAGTTTTATTCACTATTGACCTGATTTTTTTCCCTTCTGACTTTATGTTCACCAGTATTTATCTCTTTATTCCTTGGTTAGCTATATGTGTCCTCATATCCTTAGTTTTCTTTTTCTTTTTTGGAGAGGGCAAAATACAGAGTGATTTAATTTAATTAATGAGTTTAATGAACGACTTCAGTAGGTTTTCTTTATTTATTACTATGTGCTAGAAACTGTTTGCTGGAGTCATTGTACACTGTGAATTCACTTACTAAACAAATTTATTGAGGAACTATGTGTTAGCCATCAAGGTCTTCTCTTTCTCTCTCAGAGTACAGTAGAAATTCAGGCCCCAAAACTCCTGTAGAATGCAGTTCTGGGTTTTTAGGTTACATAAGGATTTTGTTTATTTTGGTGGGAAGAGGGAGTACTTTGATTTTTTGGAATCTAAAGTTGACAACTTATAAATATGTCTTTGAGATTCTGCTTCTTCCCTTACATTTCAATTCCTCTTAACCACATTACTGAGGGTAGTTAGACAGCATACTTAAATCCTATTTTTAGTAAATGGGAGTACGACTTTTCTGTTCGAAGCATCTTATAAGTACTGGTTCCATTGGAAATGTATTTGTCTGTTTACACGCATTTGTCTGTTTATCTCTGAAGCTCTCTATTTGAGGCATTATTTAAAATATCCTAGTGTTTCTTCTTTACTGTGTTTTTTTCAGAAATGGGCAGTATGGAGTTGCATTGTGAGTATCTCTATTGCTCTGTGACTCTCTGTGTTTTTTTTCATCTCCAGAAATTAGCGGAACTAAAAGAACAGACTATACCTTTGAAGAAAAAACTGGAATCCTATTTAGATTTAATGCCGGTAATTATTTTTATGAATTAAAAAATGAAGATACCTCTTTTAGTGCTTTCCCCAAAGGCACTAAATGATCATGAATATAGTGAGTCCATGCATGAGGAGTTAAGTGCAAGCTGGATTTTCAGTGGGTATACTCTCCATCAGGTTTTTTAACTTTTGAAAAGAATCATTACATTTGTTTTCCTTGAGTCCTAATTGAGGCAGTATAACCTTTCCTTGTTTTGTTTTTCTTTAAAAGAATCCATCTCTTGCTCAGGTGAAAATTGAAGAAGCAAAGCGAGAATTAGTAAGTTCCGTTTTTTCTTCAGGTTTTAAAAAAGATATAAAATAAATGCTGACATAGCTAATGCTCCCTTCTTCCTCCTCAGAGCTAAACCACAGTCCCAAAGTCACTATATATCATTCCCATGCACCTCTTAATACTTTTGGCATATTTGTCCATTAAAACATGCATAGTGGTCTATTATGTCTTTTAAATTTTTGCTTAGACTTTCTTGGTAGAAGGGTTGGGGTGTGAGACTCACAATATTCCAGACAAAAGGAATTGGCCAATGCACATGAGCCAAAAGTGGAGCACTTCTCCAAGCTTTGGCAGGTGACGAGGTGCAGCTGCCTGGGAGTGTTCGGTGGAAGACAGGGCTGAGGATCCACCAGTTTATAATGTAAAGAGCCTTTGATGTAAAGAGGATGGAGTCTGTAGGGGACCTCTAAAGTTGCCGTGTGTTTCCTTCGTTAAGCAAAAGAGAAACGTGATCAAAGCTATGCTTTTTGATCAGGCTAGTTATTTAGGAAGAGGATTCTGGAATCAGCGTATAGGGTGGATTGGAGGAGGGAGAAAGAAAATTGCAGGAACCAGTTGGCCTGTTCAGGCCAGATGAGAAGTGATGAGAACAGTGCCAGTGACAGTGGAAAAGAGGTGACATGAGAGACACCACGGAAGTACGTTGTTTACGGAGTAAAGATCAGGAAGAACTACCGTATGTCATTATACCAGTTCATCTCCCTGAAGTTCCCCTGTTTAGGTGTGTATTAGAATCAAAGAGTCTGAAAAACTTTGGGGATCTAAAGACATATTTAATATTTATAATGTTTTTTTTACATTTTTGTTTTCTTTTTTCTGTTTTCCTTATTTTAAATAGTATTTCAGATTATTCTTTCTCCCTTTAGGACACCATTGAAGCTGAACTTACAAAGAAAGTAGACATGATGGAACTGTGAACAGAGCCAAGTAAACTTCATCTTCTCTAACACAGTTAATTAAACAGGACTTTAAAGAATTGTTTCCTCGCCATGGTTGGTGTGGTTCGGTTGGGCATTGTCACGCAAACCAAAAGGTCTCCTGTTCAGTGCCAGTCAGGACATGTGCCTGGATTGCCGGTTTGGTCCCTGGTCAGGGCGTGTATGGAAGGCAACTGATCAGTGTTTCTCTCCCTCTCTTCCTCTCTCTGTTAAAAAGAGGAAAAGGGTTGTTTCCTTTTGGTATTCCTAAATAACTTAGTGTCTATGTTCTTAGACAAAATAATATCACTGTTGATAGCATAGTGCTTTCTGCTATGTATTGCATTTTTGTGCCCAAATACATAGTTTTCACATTAAAAATATTGTTTTTTTGTATTGTTGGTGGTCAGTGTCCTTCAGTAGCTCTGGGTGGTGAGCATCAGGACAGCCGTTGCGCAGTCACTCGTTAGGCCAGGTAAGTGAAAAGGAAAGGTTCTGGAGCTCCAGGCATGTTTCTCCACTGTCCTCTCCAGGGGTTTGCACTGATCAGCTCACCTGCCTGCCTCCAGGTGTTAATGCATGCAGGAATTGAGTTCGTGAAAAAGATGGCCTTTACTTTAAAGTCCGTGGTGGGGAGTTGGATAATTCAACACTCGGTGCTAAATCCGTATTCACACCTTATGTCAAGATAGTTTCAAAAGATCAGAGATTTAAATATTAAGAAAAGTACAAGAAATCATGGAGGAGTCTTAATGTTTTGATTTTTATATAATCATAGTGAGAACTGTATGACGAAAATCTAGAACCATGAATGAAATTATTGAAACATTAAAAATTCCTGCATGTCAGAGTCTTTCATGGATATGACAAATGTGGTGCAGAAGAAAGAGAAATTTTTCACAGTGTACCTTTTTGTACTTTAAGAAATGTTATACCATGCAATCAGGAAGCAATCAGTTTTTTAAAGGTTATTTAAATGACCTTAAACATTTCCTTCCTCTCCTTTTCCACAAATATATAGCTAAATATAATACAAAATACAAAAAACAGGGGAAATTGTATTTCCTGTTTTGAAACTACCCATATTCTTTAGCTTTTTACGTATTGAGGTTTGGTCTTTGTCTTAATTTACAGGAGTTCCTTATATATTAGCTGAATTGCTGCTTTTATGATTTCACTTACAAATATTTTCCACGTTTGTCACTTTTGACTTAATTGCAGGCCTTTTGGCAAGGCAGCCAGGTCGATTGATCACGATAATGACCGTGATGATCCCCCCTCCCTCTGCATGTCGACTCCGCCACTTCTCCCCTCCAGAGGCACCATCTCCATCTCCATCTCCATCTCTTGGGTCTGACTTGGCTGTATGATTTGTTTTGGTCAGTGAGAAAGTAGCACATGTGACAAAAGCAGAGAATTAAAACCTGCTTATGCATTAGAACTTACCCTGTGTTACTGCTCTGGAATTCTGAGGCTATAGGCAAATCTATAGGAGGATGAAAAACTATGCGGAGCAGAGACAAGTAACTCCAGCTAAAACCCCACCCCCACCCTCAGAACAAGCGCTGTGCACTGCCAGATCCTTGAACGAGGCCTTCTCAGACCATCTAGCCCCCAGTGAGGCATCAGCAGATTCAGAGATAAGTCAAGCCCAGGCCAGAAGCCCACAGAGTCAACCTGTATAATTGTGAAAACTAACAAACAGTTGTTCTTAAGATTTGGGCTGGTTGTTATCTGCAGTAGCTATTTAATAAAAGTAGCTTTTGAAATTAATGTTCAAAGAAAAAAGTAAACATACAAAAAAGAATCATAAAGAAACCTAGAACCAGCATCATTTTATAAAACAGTAGTTGCATTAAATGTAAGTGAGAAGGTGTTTTACTTAAAAGGCAAAGATTGAAACAATATGTTTTTAGAAAACTTCTAAGTATACGCTGTACATTAGAGAAATATCTTAAAAGTACAGGTTGGTGGGTCCATAGTCATGGTGGGCAGAATACATGCTTCTCTCAGTAATTGATAGAACAGGCAGAAAAAAACCCAGCAAGGACAGAGAATGGCTAAACAACACAACAGACCTGATCTGGCGGACACATAGAAAGTCCTACACTTCCCTGGCCGGGTGGTCAGTTGGCTGGAGTGTCACCCCACACACCGAAAAGTGGATTTAGTCCCCAACTGGGGCTCGTACAGGAGGCAACCGATCAATGTTTTTTTTTCTTTTTCTCTTTCCCTCTCTCTAAAATCAATAAATATGTCTGCGGGTGAGGATTTAATAAAGAAAAAAAATCCTATACAAACTGCCACAGAATGCGTGTTCTTTTCAAGTGCAGGCAGAACATTTACAAAAATTGTCTCAATAGTGGGTAGTAAAAGAACTCTCAGCCATTACAGAAGGACTGGAATGCATAGCATGTTCTCTTACTATCGTGCATTTAGGTAAAAATAAATAGCTGAAAAATGATGTGCTTGGCATTTAAGAAATACATTCTAAATAACCCGTGAATCAAAGAAATTATAGTATGAATCAGAAAATATTTAGAACTGAACTATAATGAAAAAATTCTATATACTGGACTGGTGGATTTTTGCTTTTGACCATGATGGAGTCAGTGATCAGATTGACTGTCTTGCTTTAAACAGAAACAAAAAATTGGTAACCACATTCTTCAGACATTGAATAACAAAGAAGCACAGGAAATTAATCCATAAGAGAATAAAAAGAAACAATGAGTATGGACTGTATATTAGATAATACTGTATCAGTGTTGGAATTCCTGAATTTGACCATTTTACTGTGATTATCTGAGCCCTGTAGTTGCCCAAGCTGGCTGCACGTGGCGAGTTTCGAGTCCATGGCTCGGGGAGGGAGAACCCAGGCAGTCTCATCCAGTTGAGGAGGAAGATGAGAATTTGAGATAAGCAAAGTAACATTTGAGAAACAAAACCCTGAAGTGCTCTGGAGATTTGCAGAGGTGTTTTCTCAAGTCTGGTTGAACTACTGATTTGCATATACACATGTGGAGACCACCTGAAGCCGGTGAGAGAACTGCTGAAAAACTGCAACATGCGGAGGGCTGTGCTGTTCCATATTCCTGGGAGCCAGAGCGGAACCACTTTCCAGTACTGGGAGCACTGAGTAGGGTCTTCAGAAGGATATTTGCAATAGTAGCGGTGCCAGGGAATGTGGCTGTGTTCCAATAAAACTTTATGAAAACAGGTGGCAAGTCGGATTTGGCTCACAGGCAGCACCTCGCTGACTCCTGCTCTACAACAGTAGCTATGAAAGTAAAAGGTATAGCTAACAAGCCAATCTGGGAGATAAAATGGAAGTATAGTAAGTGATCAATCCAAGAGAAGGCAAGAAAGGAGGGGGAAAAGGGAACTAAGGAGAGATGAGACAAGTGGAAAACAAATAAGATGATAGATTTATACAAAACCTTATTAACAATCACATCAAATGTAAGTGGTTTAAACACTAAAAGGCAGACTGTCAGCTTAAATTTTAAAAATCAAGGCAAATGCCATCTGTAAGCAACCCACTTTAAATATAAAGCAAGTTAAAAGTAAAATCATGGAAAAAGTATACAATGTAAACATAATAAAAGTTTACAGTAATATCAAAACAGATGTCAGAGCAGGAGTATGACCAGGGATAAATACGTTCACTTCATGATAAAAATGCCGAGGTTATCCAATGCGGAAAGGGTAGACTCTAACAAATGGTTCTGGGACAAGTCCGTCTCCCCGTGCAAAGGAGTCAGCTTGGAGCTCTACCTCACACTATGTGTAAAAACTAACCCAGTGAATTAAAGCCCCCAGTGTAAGAGCTAAAACTACAAAGCCATTAGAAGAAAAAATAAATGTGCATAATCTTAGATTTAGCCCAGAATTTTACAATATGATGCCAAAAGCACAAGCAGTAAAAGGAGAAAATAGATACATTGGACTTCATGAAAATGAAAAACTTCAGTGTTTTAAAGGATCCCATAAGAAAGTGAATACATTTTTCACATGGTGAGGGCAAATATTTGCAAATCATATACCTGATAAAGGGCTTGTATCCAAATCTACAAAAACTTACAGCCAAGCCCTGGCTGGTGTAGCTCAGTGGATTGAGCGTGGGCCTGCGAACCAGACAATCGCGGTTTGATTCCCAGTCAGGGCACATACTGGGGTTGCAGGCCAGTTCCCAGCAGGGAACGCACTAGAGGCAACCATACATTGATGTTTCTCTCCCTCTCTCCTTCCCTTCCCCTCTAAAGATAAATAAATAAAATCTTTAAAAAAAATACAGCCAAATAATAAAAGGCAAATAACCCCATTTACAAATGAGTAGGGTACTACAACAGTACGAGTGGCCCCAGAGAGTATGATGCTGAGTGAAATAAGCGAGTCAGAGACAGACAAGTACCATATAACATCACTCCTATGTGGAATCTAATGAACAGACTGAGCCAACAAGGAAAACGGGGACAGACTCGTATGGAGAGCAGGATGACAGCTAAGTGGGGTGAGGAGGTTAAGGGGTGGAGGGATTGAGCAGAAAGGAAAAAAGACTCACGGGCATGGACAACGGTGTGACTGCTGGGGGGAGGGAGTATAAGAGGACTAAATGGTCATGGAAAACATACAATAAAGATTTTTTTTAAATGGGTAAGGGATTTGAATAGACATTTTCCCAGTGAAGATACACAGATGCCCTATAAGCACATGAAAAGATGCTTGACATTATTAGTTATTAGGGAAACAAAAGTCAAAACCACAATGAGATACTATCTCATACCCAGTAAGAAAACTAGAATGAAAGATAGTAAGTGCTGGTGACAATGTAAATGAATTGGAACCCTCGGACACTAATGAGGGTGTAAAATAGTACAGCTGGTTTGGAAAACAGTTTGGCAGGACCTCACATGATTAAACATGGAGATACCATATAACCCAGCAATTTAACTGCTAAGTACACATGTATACCCAAGACAAATGAAAATATGCCCATACAAAACATACAGGAGAGTTTGCAGCAGCATTATTCACAGCAACCCAAGTGTCTGTCAGC